GAAAACCTAACCAAAACAAAAAAACCCAAAACCCAATTTTGGAGGCTGTACCTGGGGAAGTGCATGTGAGTGGTGCTGCTCCTTGCTTCATTAAGAAGTGCATCTCGGGATATAGATTTCTGTTGTTCCGTTTTTGGTATTTTGGGATAAGGTATTTAACATGACATATATTTGGTACTTTTTCAGTTTTTCTATGACACTGTGGCTCTGATAGCAAACTTGGCCCTGTCCATGATTGATGCCTGTATTATTTTGTGGATATCCTTTTATAAGCTGCAGAATGTTACGAACTTATTCATAGCTTACTGTTTCTGACTTACACTTAAAAGGAGTAAAAGGTGATTTGCTGGTTTAAGTTGGGATTTTGATAGTTTTTGATGTATGCGCAAAGGCAATTTTTGCCACTTTCATTCAAACGCATGGTTACCCGTAGAGCATTCAGTTTGTCCATGGATAGTGCAAAAGATTTAATTACTACATCTCTAACAAGCTGATTGCTAGTTTTCTGTAATGGAGGTGGCCAGAGCACGTTGTTGCAGTAATTGCCTCAGGAGAGGCTCCTTTTAACAGTGCTAGATTGACTTAATTTGGAAAACTTATTTCTCACCTTGCTGGTGGAGAACTGAGAACTGACAATGTGGTATTGTCAGTTCCCCTCTGTACATTGGGCTAAACTCTTGATTCAAACCGTCTGCTTCCGTAGTAAAACTCAAAAGCATTGTGGTGGAGTATTTGTGGTTTTTCATAAAATAGCCTGACCCTCCTCGCTTCTTCTGTACCTTGTTTCCTTTTCAGTTTGTTCTTACTGGCTCTCTCTTTGTCTCCAGGCCCAGAATGATCTTGCCTCCTTGGCTTTTATTCCCCTGGCTTTCCTAGATACTGCCCTGTGCTGGTGGATATCCTTCACTATTTTACTTGGTGGGGTGTGTTGTTCTTCAAATTTGTTTTTTTTGGGAGTCTTTTTGGCTGAACTGTGGTGGTTTTTTTGTTTTGTTTTGTTGTTTTTGGTTTTTTTGTCTTTTTTTAATCAGCTTCAAGTATATGTTCTTTCTACTCCTGGTAAAGTTAAAAGAACCTCTGTAATTGAGTGTTCAGGTAAGCTTCTGCTACAGCCAATGCAAGGAAAACTAGGTAACCAGTAGATACCTGTGTTAGAGCAGCTCCTGAACATAGACTAGTTAAGTCTGTCTTACCAGTCTCTGAGTGTTGAAGAATGAAATTAACTTGTTCTAGTGTAGCACTTTAATGCTACTGTAGTAGCAGCCTTTGGAGAACAGACTTAGTTTATGTTTTGGGGAGAAGGTTGCTTCGCAACATCAAACCTAGAATTCTTTCTGTAAAATTTGAACTCGTCTTGAAGTAGGTGACGAAATGGGGCAGTGTTGACTTTTTGGTGTCTTGACATATTACATCCAAACAACTGTAATCTTGTGTGACTTTAGCAACTGCTGTCAAATGCTGAACTCAAAGCCATGTATAGCAAAATGCCTAAAAAGTGTTTTTAGTGAAAGTCAATCACAGAACTCTATGTGAATACCTACCTTGCTGCCCAGCCATAACAACCCCAGTTCTCTCCTACCGTGATGTCTCTCCTAAGCACTTGTGTTGTCACTATGGAAATAAAATTGCAGACAAAAGGGTGAAGATATTTGTATGCCCTAATTGGTTTTTAACTCCCTTCTGGTTCAGGCTTGGTTTTCCATTTATCAGAAGTACATCTGCCACTTTTCTGGAGGAATGGGTCATAGTCCAAAACAGATGCTTGGATACCATCTTTGTGTGACAAGAGTTCTGGTCTTACTTTTTGGAGGGCTAAGTGTGTGGGTGGGAGAGCTGTTGAACATAAGATCTGTGTCCAGCTTGTCCCTTCAGAGGCTTTCCTTGACTTGCCATACATATTCATCAGCTTAACTCAAACAATGAAACTGCTGAAACTTCGAAGGAATGTTGTGAAACTCTCTTTGTATCGGCACTTCACCAACACACTCATCTTGGCAGTAGCAGGTAAGCAGAAAACTATGTTAATCAAATAAGAGCACTTGCCATTTCCATATATGGCTTGATTTGATCACTAAAGGAGATTTTTGAGTTTGGTGACCTTTCTGTAAATACAATCAAAGTAATTGGTATTTCTTACACTTGACCCATTTCTCATAGTGGGTCTATACCAAGTATTATGTTGATACTTCAGAGGCAGTGGATTATTAGTCCTGATGTTAATAAGATCAGTAGTTCTATGCAGCTCGTCTAACAGAGCACTTTCATCCCTCTTAAAGCTGCTGGGGCAAAAGATTGTTATTCTATGCTGTTAACTTCACAGAAATAGTTTTTGCCAAAATCACAGTATTACTGTGCACTATGGGATTTTTAAAATGTCTGAAGACCTGATAGCTGAAGACCAGAGTGATTCTTGGAAAAACAGTATTCTTAGTATTGTGACATATTGCCCTGTGTATTCTGGAAGAATACAGATTCAGATTCTCTTCCCATTTGTAGTAGTGGTGAACGGAACTTCAAGAATAAATCTGTTGGTACTTCCAGGTGCTCAGCTCCTCATCTGTTTGGACATGCTATCCACACAATGAGCAGAAAACTTCTAAGGACTGTGCTTTTTTTATTTAAACAAAAAACCAAGTGTATTCCTTTTTAATCAACAGGTCTGATTAAATTCCTTTCAGCATCTGGTTCTTAGTCATCATAGAACACCTTAGTGGAGGGAAGTCTGATCTTGTAAAACTGTGGTGAGAGCATAGTTTGAGCATTGGAACTCTTGTGGGTCAAGATCTGAATGCTTAGGCATTCAAGGAGATCAGATGGTTCATTATTTCAAGGTAGACTTTATTTGTCAACTGGTAATGAAACCATGGTTTGGAGACTAGATGAAAATAATATAAGAATAGTGAATAGGGATGAGGAGTTGGCTAAATACTTCATAATTGATTTATGCCTTGTGTCTCTGAAGAACCAAGACCAAAAAATACTGGTCTGTGCCTAAATTACTGTATAAGGTCAGTGGAGTAAATCAATCTCTTGTTTTCCAAAACTAATAAATTGCATTCCAAAAATTCACTATTTAGGTCTTTGCCCTTTGTTTAGGAAACACAGTCCTGTTAGTAGTACATTTGGATTAGCATATTTTGTAGTAATAAGCAGCTTGTTTGTTTTAATATTGCAGCATCTATTGTATTTATCATCTGGACCACCATGAAGTTCAGGCTGGTGGATTGTCAGTCGGTAAGTTTGTATTGATTGCTTTCTGCAATTGCTGCCTCTTGATAAGTTTACATTTGGCAGTGTGAGAGGTGAGATTGGGCATTCTGAACAGATTTTTCTGTGGATTATGTCTAGAGTAATATACCACATGCTAAAATTCTCACTGTTGTGGGTAATGAGCCTCTTTGTCAGATACCTATAGTTCACCCTTGGAAAGAGCTGAGGACATGGAGTCTCTTTCTTCGTAACTTTTTCTATTTGTGCTGCTGTTTTCCTTGACAGGACTGGCAGGAGCTATGGGTGGATGATGCCATCTGGCGTTTATTGTTTTCAATGATCCTTTTTGTCATCATGATTCTGTGGAGACCATCTGCTAACAACCAAAGGTACAGCTTTTCTTACCGCTTTCTAAAAATACTGCATTTTGGGAATGCTTGTTTATCCAAAGAAGTACTGGTGGGTGATTTTTAGTTGCTGTATACTGATCCATAAGGATACTAAGTAATGTCTGTAGGGGCTTGAGGAAAAGTTAAGTGTAGAAAGTCACATAGATAAAATTCAGTCTGTTCCTGGTGATGAACTTATTTAAAAAAAGTGACTTAAACTTTTGATTAGGTAGTTTAGCATAGGTCTTAAAAGCAATGAACTACACAGAATAATCAAGTCATGTGAATGTTGGGGTAATGAATCTGTTGGGTGGCAAGAGATAATAATCTAAGATAGCTTTCATTCTTTCCCTCCTAAAGGTTTGCTTTCTCACCACTGTCTGAAGAGGAGGAAGATGATGAGCAGAAAGAGCCAATGTTAAAGGAAAGCTTTGGTAAGAGAAAAGTTTTTTTTCCACCTAATTTCTGTGTTGAATAGGCACTTCTGTGGAGGGAGGTCTCTTGTTTTCTGGCAAAAAGTTCATTGCTGCTGTAAAAGCAGTCAGTGCCTCCCTGCTGCCATTGATTTATGCAGTTGTAGAGGAAACATTGGCTTTATGTTTAGTGTTTACATTGCCTGTTTAATTCTGGGGTTTTCAGATGGCACTGAACACACTGCTACTGTTGTGGTTGCTTTACCATGTCCACTGGACTTTGTTTTAATAAATATGTCAAGTGTTAGGTTTGGATCTAGTCATGATGACAAGGATCTCCTTGGATATTGTTGCTAGGCAGTGGTTTAGTTTGCAGTTCTCTTTTTTTAAAATCCAGTTTAAGGATTTTCGTTTATTATCTGGTCTCTGAACTCTGCAGTCTTCTTCATTTTCCATATTAGGGCCTAGTACAGGAATGTCCGGTGTAAAGACATGGATGAATATGTTTACATATTCATGAAATTACATATGCATGAAAGAGTCCTGCTCTATGACACTAGGGTGCATCTTTCTCTCCACTCACCCCCCTCTTACTATAAAACCCTCTCTTTTTCTGCCTGCTATCTCCCTACTATGTCTATTGTAATACTACTGTTCATAAATTGTGTAAAAGGTAGGGTGACATACCCACTGCTGCTGTCTGTCCACAAATCAGTTCTGCTGGGATATATCAGTGCTGTTTGACTTGTTCAGGAGCTGAGGAGGAGTGTGTAATCCCCTAGGTGCATTTGCCAAATCAGCTATATCTGCCTGTCTGCCAGGCTAGGAGATGCATGTTGCCTCTCAGCTTTTAAGTCAATCAAGCAGCTTGTCAGCAGTCAGTAGGTAAAATAAATTTTGGGAGTTGCATATGTCTCAAAATGGTTGAAGTTGGAAGGGACCTCTGGAGGTCATCCTGTCCAAATCCCCTGCTCAAGCAGGGTCACTAGAACAGGTTGCCCATGACTGTGTCCAGATGGCTTTTGAGTATCTCCAAGGATGGAGATTCCACCGCCTCCCTGGGCAACTATGTCTTTGAGTTCTATGCTGCTTATGTCTGGCTAAAATAAAAAGACGATAAATTGATATTTCTTTGGTAAAATTGCAAAATTGAAGAAAAACAAAGTATTCCACCTGTCAGGAAAAATACTACAAGCCTTTCAAAGGGAGAGCATTGTCTTAATGATTAACTTGTCTGTCTTGTTCTGTCTCTTTGGATTTGATGAAATATTCTGAATGAATAGCCAACACTTTCACTTACAGTCTATGAACAATTAGGGTTCCGTTATCCCAATCTTTTTTCCTTCTTTTGTTTTCAGAGGGAATGAAAATGAGAAGTACAAAGCAAGAACCAAATGGGAACGTGAAAGCAAACAAAGCTGTAAGTATGCCCTCCCTACTTTGAAGGATATAGATCCATCTACTCTTTGTTTGGTTGCCCCCTAGTAGTAGCTCACAAATAGGCAAAGTGTTCAGCCTATAAATGTGAGTTTCCTGCTTTGCTTCAGAGTGGGAGTGAGTCAAAGTATATGTTCACAGTACTTATGAAAAGAAGTAAATACAGTGTTTTCATCTAATTTCCTGTAAGTGCAATGGAAGCTTTAGAATTCAGTCTGTTCTTCAGGAATGTCTGCACAATCCAGTATAGATAGAACTGTATAATACTGTATTCTGATAATGAGTAATACATTATTTTAACAAGTTTGTCAGGCTGAGAGGGAGGTTGAGCTGTATTTTAAATAAATTAATTGCCTTCTAATTTTGAGATTTGTGATTCCTTATTTGAATGGGGTGCTGTGTATGTACCTACCTAAAATAAGTTGAGTGGAACATTTTTAACTTATCTGCGTTTTTTCCATGTGGCTTATAAGCAGAGGTAGTTTCACATTCAGCCAGGAGGTAGAAAATATATCTCATAATCTTTTAATGGAATTCATGAATAAATTTAAAAGGAAAGAACCTGTAGGAATTAATTATAATAGCAGTAATATTTTTGTCATTAACACTGTTTTTCTCAAAGGTTGCTTGCAACTGTATGCTACTTATCTGAGGATAATGTGAAACTCAAGCTTTTCAATTTTGGGGACGTGGGAGATCAGAAGGGGTCAGTTCTCCAACTTCAGAACAAGTGTTCTTGTGTTGTGAATTAGAGAGTGTTCATCAGATAGAAATGAGAAATCCTGACAATGCAGTTTAACTCACATTTGCAAAATCTAGCTTGTGCTTTTTGTAATAATTTTTCATCATAACATCTTCTAAAGATGATGTTCTTTTGTGGGAGACTAAACTAGATTGTGTAAATAACCAAAGTGTCCTGAGGGCCTGCTTTTCCTAGTCACCATTAGACTATCACAGAGTTGACGGTAAGTTATAGGTAGGTTTTTTTCTTTTTTTTCTTGGAATGTGTTTCCTGTAATCCAGGTATCAAGTTGAAGGTGGGATTTTTGTTTGGGGATTTTTGGTGGTTTTTTTTGTTTTTTTCAACTGACATTATAAATACCTTGGTTTTTGTCAGATAGGCTGAGAAAAAAAAGGCTTGCATGTGACAGCATTTTGGGAAAACTGACTTTTGTCTTCCATTTAATTTCTGTACTTGTAGCAGGAGGATGACCTGAAGTGGGTAGAGGAGAATGTTCCTTCATCAGTGACAGATGTGTGAGTATTTTTATAGACACAATAAAAGCAGGTTCCTTGGACACAGGAACGCAAATACATTAGAATGCATTATAACTTGCATGCTGCGCTTACATGAGCAGATACTGAGTTCAGCCTGGAGTTGGCCTCCGACTTCTTAGAATGCTTCTACTTGGCTTTATGCGGTCTGTCAGACTTACAGTTCAGGCCACTTGAACACATGCTGACTTAAGGAACACCGTCGGGAACTGTGAAAACACAGACTGATTTGTTTGCACTTCATGAAAGTTAAAACTAACTAAATAAATCCAGAAAACAAAGAACAAACAAGTGCTCTCTTTCTGTTTAGTGCTTTGAAAAGTCCTTTGAGTGTCTTGCTGAATGTAAACCACTGAATAATGTCATTTAGTTCTCAACTTTATTTGGAATGTCTTCTGAGTCATTTTTATGCTTCTGGCAATATAGTCAGCTATGTAGGCAGTCCATATCTATTCTGCTTTTAATAACTGTTACATCCTAAAAATGTCAGTGCCTGTGTCTAAATTTTTCATAGCAAAACTGAAGTTCACAGATTAATTATGTTCACAAATCTGAACAGGTAATTTTGGCAGAGGCTCTAGATTTAAGTACAAAACTCTGCTTGAAGTTAGTTAAAGACAAGAAAACAAGTGAAGCTTCAAGGGGATGAAAAATTGCATTTTCTCAATCGAATTTTTTTTTCCCAGTTTTACTACTTACTTTTTGAAGAATGGTAGAAATTCCTTAAGAAAACAAGGACTAGACTGGTGTAAGTTAGGAAGGGGCACTTTGAGGTAGTCTGCTGCAGGGTTTTCTGTTCTTGAAAGTATGATCGCTGAAAAGGTGTGGTGTCAGTGTACTTGTTTGACTTCTGGGATGTGTTTTTGCAGTGTGGTCCCATATTGTAAATGTCTTCGGTGTAGTTCAGCAGCGTTCCTGTATGAATGATGCGGCTTGTTTCCTGGCAACTTGGAAATTGTTCAGTTGGTAATGAGAAGCCTAGAAAAAAAAGAATTTTAAAACTGAAGGTCATTGAGGATACTCCTTGGGCTCTTCCTCTTTTGTATGTCTTTCTCTAATTTCTGTCTAATTGAAAGGTCTGTCTTCATTATCGCTCTCCTGAGCCCTAAAAAGCTTAAGGTGCAACATAAGGCTGAAAGTGGTTGTCAATCATATGCTCTCAGTAGGTGCTCTAATTCTCCTAACTTTTTTTTTTCTTTCCCCCCCCACTGTAGTGCTCTTCCAGCTCTTCTGGATTCAGATGAGGTCAGTAAACAAATCTTCAGTTCAAATTAGTCTTCTGACATGCCAAAGGAGTCATGACTCAGCTGTTAAGGACTTGGCATATTAGAACTGGAATCTCTGATCTTGCCAGTGCAGCAGTAAAATAATACAAGGCGGGGAGGGATAGTGGGGACAACCATGGTACAACTTCTTAGAATACAAATGTGTATTCTAAATGTGTATTCTAAAAGAAGCAGTATATCTGCTGTGTAATTTGGACTCCTGAATACGAGGATGCATACGAGTGTGCATTTGTTGCGAATATGCAAAGCGTACCACCTTATTTCTGAATAATGTAAACCTATTAGGGGAAATGACAACACTGGGTATTTTATTTTGCAGGAAAGAATGATTACACACTTTGAAAGGTCCAAAATGGAATGAAGGAGTAGCTTTTTTGCTCTTGGAAGTGGAGACGCCTCTTAAAGTTGCTTGGTGGAGCAAGTGCATCCTGCTGATTTGTTTCTTGATCTCAGCCTTGGAAGTTTGATGCTTTATTGTCACGAGGGCGTCTTGCTGTGGAAGTTCACAAGGACATTATAAACCTTTTGGAAATTTGAATTTACAAAGTTGCTGCAAGTTTGGATTTTTAAGCAATTTAAATGTGTACTATTCCAGCACCTTCTGTAACTTTTCAAATATTTAATCTGTGAAACTAAAATTCCTAATGTCTGCTTGAGGAGTTTATATTTCAATGTTACAATTGACACTTAGAGGTGAACTGCCTGTACCTTTTTGGGGGGAGGGTGGGGACAGATAGAAATAAGCACCGAAGAAACAACAGACGCATTTTCTGGTAGATAATGGCTTGCTGCTGTTGTATGTCATGTGTCCAACATGAATGAAAGGTTTTTAGAGAGAAGCTCCTGTTAATGAAGAAAATGAAGATGCCAGAAAGGAAATATTTGGAAAAGTTACAGTGATATGAGTTTTTAACAAAATCAAGTGCAATTTTATTCATAACACTGTGTAAGAAAGATTTTCTATTTTAAATGCCATTGACCTATAGGTAACAGCTGCATAGAGCTAACACTTGCTGTTGTGGCACATCTCATTGCCGGCAATGTGGTGGATGCCTGGAAAAATGATTTGCCCCTACCTTCCATGTGTTGCATGATTTAATTTAAAAACAAAAAACAAACCAAATGTCACCAAACCCACTCCTGCAGTGCTCCACAAGTGCTTGACTACTCATGTTAAGCAGATATTAACTAGACATTTCAGCAGAAGTTTTCTCCCTGCACATGTAACATCTCCCACCAAGAAGTCAGCACTCTTCTATGAGAAGATGGCATTGCTTTTCAGAGGGTGCAAGCACTGCTTACCTTACTTGAAAGAGGCTTTAATGGCAGTCCACGGTGCTGGGATAGTTCTGTTCCCAGTGTCTGTTTAGAACTGCCTCCTGTGCAAGTGATTTGATGATGGGCTTTCCTGTCCCAATTGGTCCCTGTGGCCAAGAGGTACTCTGTGTTTCACAGAGATCACTGTGTTTCAAAGTTGAAGATTTCTGTCTACATAATTGCTTTTTGTTTCTCCTTTTCAAATGAAGAAGAGCTTTTGGAACAGTGTTCTGTTTTTATTCTATGCTTGGCTGTAGAGGCTTCACTTGCAATAACTTACACATGGAAACCCATTGTGGACTGTATGACAAAAGCTCTAATTTGGGTTTATAACCTTTACAGCTGATAATTACCAGGCAAGCAGCAGCAGCACAGCTGGACTTCTAGGGAGCTGATGTGGTGGCTGCTGCAGGAAGGGCATAGGGAGTCAGCTTTTCTGGTTCTTCACTCATAGCTATGTCAGCAGAAGTGAACATGTGCCTGTACTTCATTCATTCCACTGTAAGGTCTGGTAGCATAGCTCTAGTTCATCTGTATCAGCAATTTATGCTGAAACATGGCACTTTACAGTAGAGTAGCTGAGGCACAAGTGCATAGTATCTTCTGCTAGCTGTGCTGTGGGAGCAGCAAACCCTCAGTGGATGGGTAGAGAAAAAAGCTGTGGCTATGACACCTCAGTCTGCTTCTGCAAGAGTTGCTGGAGCTCTTTTGCCATCCCCTTTAGGCCACACATAGAATCTTTAATTAGGAGACACTTCTACTTTGCTATGCTTAATTGATAGAGATGAAAAAAATGTTACCTCCATGTCCTTTTGGGGAGAGGAAATTTTGTGAAATAAAGCTACATGAAACTCGCTATTTAATGGGGCTTTTGTTTTGTTTTGTTTGGGGTTTTTTTAGGTCCTGTTGTTTTGGGTTGTTTGGCAATTTTTTTGAGACAAATAGGGTAAAATGTTCTCTACTGGAAGCACAAAAGAAGTTTGTATGTACTATTTAATAAAAGCTAGGCAAAGAGTAGAAAGGCTTACATTGTGTCCTTCTACTTTCTTATTACCTGTTCTCTCACATGAGAAAGTGTCAACATCTTCACAAAGCTCCCTCACTTTTCTTTAACTCTTTATTGCATAGTATTTATAATGCAGTTATTCCCAATAACTATTTTTTTCTTAAGCTTGACAATAGAGGGGAAGTCTGTCATTTGAAAAGCTAATATAGATAGGGCAAATCATAAATTTCTGAACAAAAGTGAAAGATCTAAACAGTTTCCTTAATTGCATTCATAGTTTAATACTTTAAAATAAATGTAGTAGCAGTGTGGTGCTTTCAGCCTACAACTACAGTGGTGTTGGGCAGTCCTCTCTGCCTTCCATTCCTTATTAACTTCTGTTAGTATTTGAAGTTGTCCGGAATTCCACGGGGAGCTTGTTGCTCCCTTAGTTAGCGGTTCTTGTTTTTCCGTTCATTAGGCAGAGTTTCTGTACCCCTGGAAGGTCGTATCTGCTTCCTAGCATGCAGCAGGCGTGTGCTGTGACTTCCTTGTTTGCAGGTAGGGAGAACTTGTATCAGAGCCCATTTCCCACAGTACCATGCAAGCTATGGCACACACACAGCTACTGCTGCAATTATGATTGCGGAGGAGGTGACTAAAAGCAGTAGATGAGGTGTAGGTGAGGAGTGAAGGGTATGTGTGCAAGGGAGTTGCAGCAACGTGGCTTCTCCCCTGACAGCATGTTTGGTCAGATGTGTTTGTTCTACTAAGGAGATCTTTGCTTCTCCTGATTCCTCGTGTTGTTCCTTAAGATGTGTGGGCTCCACAACTTGTCAGGAAAGCTTTGTCGGCAAGCTAGCTTGGTAGAATGCATGAAACCAGAAAACCTGCAGGATTGTTACCTTTAATTCTGTAGACAGGGAACACTTAATTCAAATTTATACTCCTTCTTTCAAAACAGGTATTGTAATTTTAAAACAGACCATACCGACTACTCTGAAGACTTGGTGAGCAGGAGGGAGAAAACACATCTATGCTTAGGTCTAAGATCCGTGGAAGTTTTTAGTGACTAGAATGGTGGGTAGGAATTGAATTTTCTTTAGGAAATTTGGCTATTGACTTCAAATATCTTCAACAAGCTGTTTCTAATTGAGATAATGCTCTACTTGCAGAATAAATTATGTCTGTCAGGAATTCAGAGGGAGGTTTTTTTAGAGTTCTTGTGCCTCATTAGTTCTGTGTGTGTGGATTTGTTTATTTGTGAGAGGTAGCTGTGATATTACCAATGCAATTGTTGTAGCATGTGCATGCTATACAGAAAGCTGAAAACAAATAGTGAAGAAGATGATGTTGATCAGCTTTTCATTAGGGTGGCAAGATGTTCCTGCTAGGAACTCTGAAGGAGGGACTGAGTAAAGAGATCACGTGGCATGGTAAAGAAATGCAACAGGCTTGATAGGCACTGAGTGAGTCAGGATCATAAGACCAGGGGTAGGGATGGGTATGTTTGTCTTATTCTGTAGATGTAGGGGTTTGTGGGCTTTTTTTTATCCTCCTGTTCACTTAATGTAGCATTTTATGTTGTATGCTAAAGGAAAAGTATGCGACTTTTTAAAACTTGATAAGGCTAATGCCTCACACATAATTTGCATTCTGGTAAAGTGGATTACAGCTATTTGCATGTGAAGTCCTTATTACCCGGTGTTACTGAAACTTAACATTTCCTTTCACTAAATTGGTGCTGACCCTCTTCTGTTTGTAGGAATCCTAGGTCGAGACCAGATACATGCCTGAGCCGTAACTCCTTTGGCAATTTGCAGTTTTGGTATCTGCGAAGGGGATGCGACTTGGCATGATTTCATGCTTTAGCAAGGTTTCATTCCTGAAAGTTGGATGTGAGAGTGTTGTGCTTGTTCTGCTATTCCTGTGCTTCGCTCTCCCAGCACAGAGTGTCCTCAGTCCCCGTTTTCTAAACCAGCCACCTCTGTTGGTGAAGGTGCTCAGAGAACTTAACACCACGTGCTTTTTTAGTTCGGTTTAGTTAGTTTAGCTCCTAGGCCAGTGGTGGTGAACGTTGTACCTCTTCACAGCCAAAGTAAATGCAACTGTAGCCTATTCTGGAAAGGACAAGGTAACAAGTAAAGATTTCCTCCTGGAGACAGAACTTCACTGGCCAAGTTCATTAAAGTAAAATTTATTTTACTGAAGTAAAAGAGCTGTTTTGCTGTTCTCATCTGGTTTCCTTAGGTAACGCAGGTCAATTTTCGTCTTTGGGTACAGGGCGAATTGCCTAACTGCTGTGGTTTATGTTAGCAAAGGGCAACCAGATGCCTCTGATTCTAACGTTGTGGGAAGACAAAATGAGTGTCTTGCAGTCTTATCTCCTTTTCGGAGATGTAGGAAGATGCACAAGGGTCACCTCAGGGCGAGGCGCGTCCCCTCAGGGACAGGGAGCGCGCCCCCCACGGCCGCTGGTGCTGGCCGCGCCGACCCGCGTTTGCCGTTCGTGCCCGAGCCCCCAGGAGCCTGGGCGG